TAAATTGTTTTCTACAAAAATGTGACGTAACAGCCCCCACTACTCAACTTTAATGCCTGTTATCTAAACCATTTTTTGTTTAAATTGAATTAAAAATACGTATCTATAATTTTCTATTATATGACTCACGAACTAAATAGGATTTATTATTTCTTAGCCAGTCGCCATCCCTATTCAATTATAAGTGCAATTTATCACGTTACAATCATAATAAATACTTTTGTAATAATAATAGTAGTAAAGAGTAATAATAATAGTACATTTTAGTTTTACAATAACAAATATATGAGTAGTTCCTGCTGTCCACTTGGTAAGACCACCACACCAGCCATATTGCGCCAATGGTCTCGCCGAGTCGCCAATGAAAAATAATAACCATTAACATTATTATATCCTTGTAAACATTAAAGATTATAACTATGCAAATGTTTTATTATTTATATACAGACGCACGACCCGTTGGAAGAATTTAAAAAAAGCCGTTGGTTGATATTTCATTTATATCTAACCACGAACTGTAAAAATTGATAACATGAGTGCGTTTATTAATTTAATTAATGGAAATTTTACATTTACTTGGTAAATTATATTTTTTTTTTTTATGTACAATTTACTCGTTTTATAAACTTTGCACTTGTTTTATAAAGTCCACGAACAATTTGATATTGATAGTAATTCTATTGCACCAACGAGACTAAATTTGATTATATTATGTATGACATAAATTTACAATAATATACAGGAATATAATTAAAACTGTCGAACAAAATTCCGAGTTATTTAGAGACAGCTTCGAATTATACTTCCGAACTCTCTAAAGTTATTTTATGATTACAAGAATAGTACAATTTTAAGCTGATGAAAAGAAGTTAAATTTTATAATTATATGTAATGGGCAGTGATCTATATTTCGGAAGGTGTCTACGTTTTTGAATGTAATATGGATGTTTTGTTCACCAGTAAGTATTTCTTTGATTTCATGTGACAACAGAATAACGTAAAAACAACTTATTATTTTTTTTCGTTTGCATTACTTGAGAGAGATATATATCTCTTAACAGACTTAACATAAGCGATCTGCTGTATGCACCCAAATTTAAAATGTATTAATGAGCTTCATTATTTATTGATCCATCTATACATATACTTATGCTTTTAAGTTGTATATCATGTAGTAATGAGACGACAATATTTCAATCCTCACATGATATTTTAAAATTTTATGTATTAATTTCTTATTCATAAACGCACTCATAACGTCAATTTCTTTGTCTTCAAATATAAACCGACCGAGTTAAGTGACACTGGAATGTAATAAAAAATAAAAATAATAATACTTTAATGCATCTTAAAAAATAAATTACAAGTATCAGTGTTTAAATAAGGCACCAAATCATATTTTACTTCATAATAGGTATTTTATAATAATACTAATAACAAAATAAGTGATGCGGAAGAATTGAATGAACAAAAATAAATTATAATTACTCATGAAAACTATATATCATTAAAATTGAAACGTGCAACCTAATTCAGTAGGTTTATACGCGCATCAATATAATACATGCGTAACATATGTTAAATTTTCGCTTTGCTTTAAATTGATAAATTATGATAACGGGTCCTAGCGTGCCATATTGTTGAAGGAAAAAAATCAACTGATTGTAGAGAAAACACCAAATGCGACAATTTTTTTAAAATTCTCTTTAGTATATACACTGCTTAGTAACATATCCTAATTAAACAGATATATTCGACTAATGTTTTGGTTTATACATGAATAACCTAGAATTGACTTTAGTGTTAAAATCAAATTAACGTTTATTGTATGCTCTGTCACCGGACAAATCATGATTATTCAAGTTCCTTCTACATATCTTCTCATCAAAGAATAATAATATAATTTCGTTAATAATAACGTCATTTTATTCAAGTTAAACATTTAATCGAACAACGCGATTTCGGTTTCAAACGTTTTTGACGCGATAAGACCCGTTATTACGTCGACGCACAGTTGATTCTTACTTACACAGCCGCAAATATTTCGATTTGTTTTAAATTACCAAAATGTAATTCATTTACCTTACCTAATCAGATATATATTCAATAATTCACATAAAAATTATGTTTTTTTTAACTACATGACTACGAATTTGCATTTACCAGCCGTTGTGCATATTGATAAATATTACCGTAACATATAATATTATATATGTTTCTAATCACACCTATTGCCTTTAAAGCATAGTGTATCAATACAAATACGTACTTATATATTTAATATATCTTGCTCTAGGAAACAGAACAATTTGTTATAATTATTAATCTATGAATGTCTATAATGGATAAACTTATTATGAATCACATTTAGTTTTTAGTACATACTTATTATAAACATTTCACAATATTCAAATATATTGATACATTAATACATTGAAATATATTATTCTATTACATTGATGAGATTTAAAATATTGTATATTTGTAATTAATTAGGTAAACGTAAAAAAAATTCACAGTAAATTTACGAATGCCAACGCAAAAAATCAGGTAATGGATATATACAACATTTTTCGAAATATTTCATCTATTTAACTACGATTCCATATTTATTACTAATTCGATTTACATATTTTCTAATGTTTAATAATCTGTTTTTATTTTATTAATTTTACGTATTAAAAGTCGATTCTAATAAATTACAAATAGGTACGTTTCAATAGAACGTGTCAAATCCACAACCAGTTAATATTAATTACATTCCTGATTTTCTGACGCTACAATGATAGGAACCACGCCATAATAATTATTATTTGTAAGAAAATATTGTTGGTTATATTTTGTTAAGTCACTAGTTAATAGTTGATTAAATGTTAGATTATACATTGGCAAATGCATTTGGTTTGCGGATGTAGGGCCACTGCACCATAAATACAATTCATCGTCAAAGACTTATATCATGAAGACAAGCTATGCCGTAACCAAAAATTGCTCGCTAAATATGTAGGCAAAGTCACGCCGTTGTATTGCCGTCTCGTTTATTCTTTACTAGAATTTGTCTACATTCGCTCCACATACCAGCCGATGCTCTTTGCCACAATTTTTAACTGCGTACAACTTTTAGCTAAACAGAATCCTTAAAATCAACTTTGTATAAAATCTAACAGTTTAATTTATAAATGGCGGCGCACACTTAGTTTTAAATAGTATGATTTGTGTTATGTATTTTAAAATATTCTTAGTTATGAAACTAATAAAAAATAAATATGATGCATTAAAAAGTAAAATAGTACCTACCTATGAACTGTTATTTAAAACTAAGCTATCAGGATAAAAGAAATGCATATCAATGAACACTTTTATAAAATACTTTTTTAATAAATTCTTTATATACAATTTTAATTATCGAAATATTACTATATAATAAATACCCACGAAAAAGTCGGAACATCAAAACTCCCCGAGATTTGGAAACATTGTTATACATTCGGGAAGACTGCGATTGGCCCCCGGGAACTTGTTACTTACGAGGACTCGAACGATGAAAGAATTTATTTCGCTAATGAAATAATTTACAACGCGATAGTTATGGAAACGATAATATCAAATATCGTTATGTTATCAGGTCTTTCGATGTGTTACATAAGTATGATCAGGTACTAAGCTTTAAATAAGCAACGATAGAAGGATTTTGCTAGTATTTCCTCTGCCATATCATCAATAAGAATGAATTATGTGATAGATATATGACTTTTATTTGTATTATTTTATTTGTATGTATAAGTACTGATTAACAATGATGTTCTTTTTTATCGACACCTCTATAACTCTGTTAAACGGTCATGTCTTCCATGAAAGTGAAAACAATAACAAAAAAAAACTAATAGAGAAATTGGTTTACATACGTTTGGTTTCTACGATTCAGACTCGTTTGTACGAATTGGTGGTAGAAAAATTGCAGAGAAAAACTAAATTCGACCTCGAGTGATAACGAATATAGAAAGTGGAATGATACAACACCAACAATTAGGAATATAAATGCTAGTTTCTCCGCTTTATTATTTTTAAACAATGTAAACTTTTTTTAATAGAAGATAGTATTAAGAGACCAATGAATATCTTGGTTAGGTAAATGTATTGTTATTACAAAATATATAATCAATGTTGCTTCCTAATCTTAACAAAACTAATAAAACACATATCAAACGGAGTTCCGTCTGATATGTGTTTTTTTGTTGTTTTGCAAGTACAGCTAAGCTATTGTTTTAAAATTAGCTTTTATATCAAACGCGGCGTTGTGAGATCATAGTGCTTCAATGGAATAAAACCTTTATTACTGTGGAAGTAGGTTTTATTTTATTAAACCTCCATACTGTCACATACTGCGCTCCACATCTGTCATCAACTCGAGTCACTCGAGTTAATTTTTCAAACTCGTACTCGAGTGAAGTAAAATCAACGAGTCAACTTGGCGCAATGAATTGATTGCTTGTCACTAGGTCTCACTGTTACTCTAATTTATTTATCTGATTATTTTTTATTTTCTTGATTACTTATATAAATAATATGTCAAAAGTTTTAATGTGTATCTTATTTATATTATAGTATTTAGTATTTGTTTAGTATAGTAGCTATTTGTTTAACATTACTAAGTGAAATCTCACTCGAGTAGCAAGTTTGCAATTTTTGACATAGGTGAATCGAAAACTCACGCATGACTCGAGTGAGCTTGTTAATTGGCTCCAGTGACTCGAGTCAGAAAATTCTACTCGAGTCACATCACTACGTCGAATACGACGCTTTTTAACTCCCGATGAAAAAAGAGGAATGTTATAAGATTGACCTATCTGTCTGGCTGTGTATCTGACTGTGACAACGTAGCTCCTCAATGAATGAACCGCAGTTTCTTTATCGACACACTTGTCCATTGCGATGGTAGTTCGTAGCTTTGTTTTATGAAAATTGGATTAGCAGTTTAAGAGCTACAAGCACTTTGCCGAGGTATCTATTTTTTCAAATGATTTGTAATTACAGCATAATAGACTTTTAATGGATAGCTTCTTTCGTTAGTGTTGAGATATACCTATATATTTTTTGTTTATAAGAAATTAAAAAATAATTTAAATGAAAATATATTTTATGACAGAATAGTAGCCCGTCTTTCTAGAGATGTAGCATAATTATCATTGCTTTAATTAACTTATGTATGCATTTAATATGGATTATAGCTGTATATGTTTATAAATATTAAGTTACTCGTAATATATACTATTCGTTTCAATATTTTTGCTACGATAGCTACTAAATATTTTAAGCTACAACATAACCAATATAATCATTGTCATGTAATAGTATGTAATGTATCTAATATGGATCGCAAGATATACGAAATTGATTGTTTAAAGAACTGGAGCCCTATTTTTGAATCATTCGTTTCGCGTCGAGCGCTCATTTTCTACTGATTTTTGTTCGACATAACAAATTCGCCATTTCTAATTCGCTCGACTGCAACGAGTCGTTTAGCGAACGCTGTATACGAGTGATAGAATATACGTCAAAACATGAAATGAATAAATTACTTGTTTACATTGACTTTTTTGTTTATATAAAATTGGCGAAATATATTTTCTATACAATACGAAGAACAAAATTCAATATTTCGATGCATGTTCGCCACCCTGCAGACGAACGATTCCATTTACTAAAATGCGGCGTTATGCGACTTAGAAGTTGAGCATGACTTGGTCGTATGCGGCAAGATTTTGAACGAGTGAATCAATAATAGAGCTCCTACTAGTTTGAGAAATAAAAAGTTACTCGATTCCTAAAGACTCTCTACTATTTAAACATGTTAACGAAATGGATATATCTATATATTTTTTTATTTCCGAATTTTCCCTATTATTTAAATAATTACAGATACAACCTGTCTATACAGAGTCAAACAAAATAATGTGATGTCACTAATGATTACTTCGCAAAAACACATGATCCCTTATTTTAAATACGGCAGTTGATTTTTTTTTTCATTGATTTTAGGCAGTCGTTGTACTTATGTAGCCTAGATTTTATAAAAGGCATCCAAACATTTTAATGTAGCTTGATAAAACTCGTTATTTATTTCCCCTATAATTCGTAAAATAATTTTATGCTACATTGAGCGTGATTAAATTACGCTATTTTTAAATCACCACGACACCCTGTATATACAAAGTCTGCTAAATTTATGGCAACTGCTTTAAGGAAAACCGTTTGATTTAGTTCCATTTTGGACTATTCTTTCAAAATAAAATTATGAAATGCAACAAATTCATTAAATTCGCAATCTCTCTCTCTCTCTCTCGTCATACGAGTTGGAATTTTGGCAAAACGTAATAAATTAATTTATCTAATAATGTTACTTAACAATAGTTTAAAAAGATAATGACATTAAAATTTAGAAATCATCAAGCATTTACACAGTATATAACATTCAGGACCACCACGATGAGGTTGGTTCATTCGAAAAACATTTCAATATTTTTAACATCAAGCAATAATTTGCAATACAAAAGCGGTGGTAATTCACTTTACTTACACTAGTTTTACTATAAACACAATATCCGACGATTCCGAGTCGATTATCACTATTAACCATTCACTAAAAAGCGACTGTGTCTCAGAATCAACTTGTTAATTAGTTTTAACCTAAGCGCACTTAACAGCGACATATATATAAAAATGGAAGTAATTTGTGAGCTTTTGAGAAAAAAGAATATTCTATAATAATATAATATTGAAACTTTTACTGAAGCGCGCAAAGGTTTATACAATGACATAGTATAAACTCATCTGTGCAGGCAAAATAATTCCAACTGTATCTGAACAAATGATTCTTAAAAGCCGCACAGTGAGTATTAAAGCCTGGGAATGAAAAAGTCAGAGACAAATATAATGTAAATAAGTATATGTAAAGTATATAAACTTAACTATAAACATATTAAAATTAAACGTTTCGATATTTCGAAAGAGTCACTCATTTGTTTAAATTTCGGGTAACAACCTTTAACTTTTAACCACATTGTTACTATTCATAATGATAAATAATCTCAAAAAAATATCCACTGTGTTTTCTCCAAATTTTGTTGTTCTAAATAATGTAAAAATATATATATTTTTTATTTAAACATTACAGAACAGTAACTTACTTAGATATACCTACAAAACAATAATTAATTAACTTATTATGAGATCTTAATTCGTAGGTAGTGTTAGTAGATACATTATAAACGATCGATGTCAGTGACATTAATAATTACAAACTTTTATGACACTGTGTTTCTAATTGATACTGAGTTTGGAATTAGAAATAGTCAACTTACCAACGAAGGAATCTTATTTCTCTTAAGCTTACTATCAAGTATTAATACTTGATAGGTAGGAAGACATAATATACGTTGATTTAATGGACCTCTGCAAAGCATCTGACAAATCCAAAGAATAAAGTTACATCTGGGAAATGTACCATTCAATTCAATTTTAATTTCATTTACACAAGTTAGCCGTTTAATATTGGCATTAATTATGTATTATAAAAAAAGTACGATATATTCATTAATAAAATTTCGAACTCTATTTTTACATTATTTTTAAATTTTGATACTAATTATTTACGCCAATAATACCTTAGAAACACTAAGTGAAACTGACTGCTTATTTTATCAAGTTTTTATTTCATACAAAATGTTGTGTCTGTTTCGGATGTTAATCTGACCGAGGAACGAAACAACACTTAAATCGTTTGCGCGATTGCTGGCAAAATATGGTAATAAGGAGCTGAGCTCCTTGATCGACGCTCTGGGAAAATATGTGAATCACGCAAAGTCACACGGTTTTATTCATAATGCCCGTATTAGAGATGTTTTGGTAGCGGATGACGGAATGATTTTATGAATAAATAGCGCACTGATATTTTAAGTCGTAAGTTAAGTGAAAAGGCAAGTCGTAAACTTTGCGGGTATCATGAAGGTGTACCCGATGTACAGGTAAAATCACTGAAGTGATGGGTTAGGTAGTTCCAATGGAATTCTGACGGTCATAGCATAGAAACAGGAGTAGCCGACTTATAGCTCTATTACAATAAAATGAAAAAAATAATAGTTATATTTTAATAATATAAGTTGTAAATATTGATGTTGTGTGAATCTAGTGATTACGGTTTGAAATTAATTATTTCTAAAATAATTAAAAGAATTCTATTAACGAGCGACTGATTCGAAACATCGATAGAACATCAGGTAACGCGACGCACATCCTACTAAACTTAAAATTAAAGGTTGTGCTCGGCGTTCGGTGGGTTGATTTGCCGAACATCTCGCGGACCAATAAATAATATGTCACGTGATTTGAAATGCAGACCGGCGGGGACGGATTATGCCCGCTGGGGTCAAACAGAAGCACCCACCATTCCCCGCCAGCGATGGCACAACTCTCGGCGCTAGGCCGCTTGGCGACCGAACGACTTTAAAAAAGCTCTCTGTACACAAAGCTTACAAAACATTACATAATAAACAACGAATATAAATCGTTCTCTTATTGCAACAAAGAACCGTAACGATAAAGAGGCCCGGGCCGAAACATCAAAGAGATTTTATTCAAAAAAAATCCAATACACATCGCTTTTGATAAAAATTAAAAATATTAAAAAAAAATAACTTTAAAGCATTAGGTGCATGAGTGTTGACTCGGCTACGATGTGTAGCGGCATTCTTTGGCTTGCAACGCTTGGCGCGCTAACCGCCCAATCCAAGGCGCACGTCCAACTCAGAAAAGTTCAATTCCGCACTGATCACCCCCAAAAGGGAGGCATCACACTTGTAAAACGGACGCGCGCCCGTTTTTACGGAACGCTAATTCTTTTTGTTCCGCTTGCGATTCCGTTTAGGAGCGGGCGGTGGGTTTAATGGCTACGCGTGCCGCTTGGCATGTAGTGCCAGGTGATCTGAGCGAGAAAAGCAACGCTCGCAGTGACGGCAGCGGAAAGGTTTCGCACCCGTGTGTTTCCGATAGTGTCGCGTTAACTCGTCGGAGCGTGCGAATCGCCACTCGCATCCCTCCCATGAACACTTGTAGGGCTTCTCACCTGGAATGTGAAAGGGATAATATAAGTCTATAAAAAATAATTTTGCGATACCCTAGGACTTCGATAGGCACGCTAAGCTGTCAGTCCGGGCTGCATCTGTATCGATAATATCTTCCAAACCACACCGGTCCCGTGGTGGATCCTAACTCTATTTGTAACGATTACATACAGAGAAAGCCTGTTCTTCAGTGGTGATACGATACATATAATTTTAGATTGAATAATGATTAATTTATGTGGTGAGCTTGCCGTGATAGCTCCTACCTGCATGAATAAAAAATTAGTTTTGAATAATTTGTGGTAAGCTGGATGGAAATAAATTGAAAGTGTATCAAACTTGAAGAATGTGTAAACTAATTCAGTAAGTAAATTTAATTTAAACTTTAGTACCCTGACGGTGTTTTCATTCGAAGTAATAAGATATTTTGTCTATGCATCTTTCGAAGTTTACGAATCAATAAGACGCAAATAAAATACCTACGTAAATTATTTCATAAATCAAATCTACGAAGTAAATAAAAAATCATTTGAATTTATTAACAGATAAGTGCTGTTTATTAAAATAAATACATTTTTTACTGTTGTACATTTTGAGTTGAAAAATAGGTAAATACAATATTTAGCCAATTACATACTCAGTATCTTAAAAAATATCCATGTACATATACTTGAACCACCATATGTAATTATATATCATCATCATCAGCCCTTTTACGTCACCACTGAAGGGGCTTAGTCCTCCTTTATGGATGGTTAAAGAGGATAAGTCATGCGGTTTGGATGGTAATAACGACTGCAAATGCAGGGAGTATCAGCTTAACTTGCGTTCTAAAACACAGAGTAACTCGAGATAATTTTTTTGTCATCCAACGTGTCACTAAGCCTTGCGAAAGTTGCTCAACAATAACGATCGAGGGCTACCGCGCTTATCCATTACATCACTGAACTATCTAATTATATATTACAATACTAAAAGCTCCGTGGAAAGCGAAAATACATATAAATAATAATATAATAATAATAGTCTTTTAGATAATGCTCGGATTGGTACAGGGTGTAGCAGTATTTACGTATCTTTTACCGTTTCAAAATGCTCATGGCAAATCGCTACATTTCTTTAATTTTTCTATTCCAAGGTAAGATGGCTGAAAATGCGGGCGCATCGTCTGCATTAGCTGCTCTGAATTTGACGACATCATGTTTTATCTGAGATTTGGGTACCTTCACAATTCTCCCAGAGAATCCTCTGATTCGACACAAAGTAATATGTGAGGTTTTTACACAAAGAATAACCTAAATTCGGATTTTTTCGTCTCGTTTTAGTGCATTAGACCAGGACAAGAAATTCTATGTATCTTTAGTTTATCTGCCTGTTACACTAATGATAAATTGACACTAAGTTTTAGAACGAAAGAATCCAAAAAAAAAATACGTTAAATTCGATTCGAAGTACGCGATGAACCTTGTGTCAGTCGTGACATAAATGTGCAAAGGTTTTGTCATGGTTGACACTTCAGTACTTATGTCGAAGTGATTTGCTGAATGTTTCTTCCACTAAAATAAAGTCATTAAAGTTATATTGTTCTAGCCATTTTGTGCTCGCTTCGAAACGAATGACAAAATTATGGCGTTTTCGGCGACATTTTATAATTTCCGCAAACCATCCGTTTAAGAAACGCTTGACTATTGATGGTACCTACATTTTACATTTTGTACTTCGTTCATGCAATTTTTCCAACATTGTCATTTGGTATTGCGACTGTCGTCCCTGAGCGACATTACAGAATCTAGAGTAATAAAGTCGCAGTTTTTAAATATTCTATAGCAAGGTCCCCGAACAGAAAGAATTTATTATAATGACCCAACACTACATATATCTTACATAAATGCATCTAGCCAATTTTGTCATAATAAGTGAGTCTAAAAAGTTTACGATATCTATGAATAGACATTTATTTCAACGACCTTAGGTCAAAGTACGAAGTTCTCTCTATTTAGCGACAGTGCTATATCAGTAAAAGGTCAAAGTAAGAAATTCTCTCGGTTCAGCGACCATAATTATAGTTGCATATGAATACGAACCGGTGTGAGTTCTTTTATGTGCTTTTAGATGCGAGCTCTTCGTGTAGACCTTGTCACACGCAGGAAACTCGCATCTATGAACCCTGCGTCGGGGGTCCGTCGCGTGTGTGTGGGAGTGGGGGTGATGTCTCGGTACGTGCGTGCGGCGAACCAACGCAGGGCTCGGGGGTTCATCTGTAATCACATCACGTTAAAAAGATTATCGATTTTTGAAACTTCAATATTGGAATGTATGAAATATCTAGTGAAAAACCATTTGCTTTTTATAAAATAAGTGTCATTTGAATAAGTGTCACCATTTTGAGTCGATAATATGCTTACAAAATTTTACAAGCAAACAAAAAAGAGGCTTGCCAATTATTTAAGTAGTTAAGTATTTTTGTTTGTTTAGAAAAGGGTACCAACATAATATTATTAACGTACAGTTATTTGTTTGATTTTATTAAATAAAAATATAGTATTAAGCACAGTAACATCCTATTTAATACAACCAGTATAAGCAATGCAGGCCCATACTCTGAATGGTTTATAACGTCCATTTATCTACCGAATATTTATAGATAGATAAAATTCTTCCGAAAATAGTAAATTGTAGTATAGATTGTAACATCCCATGAGGCATGCAAATACACAGCATGCTTAGCATATGAAAAATAATTGCCTGTAATTTCTCTTGTATGTGAACTCACAAGAGTTAGAAATCATTATAAGTTTGTAATTTTTTCGTCAGAAAATCATTGAATACATGAAATAAAATAAGTAATCATAAATAATCAAAAACATACAGAAGCGCAATAGGTACAGTAATATGTGAACTTAGAAATTAATGTCTGAACTAAAAATCCTGCAATCGTAGCTTTTTTTACAACATCGACTACAACACCGACACTTTTACCTTTGGGGTCATCGGAATCACTGTGTTTCTCAACAATGCGCTGTTGGATTACCAACGGATTGGCGATGGCCTTGAACTGTCTGACCGTGGTCAGAGGTGGTCGGTCATGACTCATCAGCTTCACACAGGGCAGGTCTGTTCGTAACGTTTCAACAATTGTCATTCAATTTGACCCACAGAAGTTTTCATTATGAGTTTCCTTCTCAGTAGATGGTTTCTCAACTAGTACCGTAAAAACTACTGACGCGATGGTGATCGTCACACGAAAAGCATTCTGTTTATTCATAATATTTAACGTGATTTTATAAGCACGATCATTAAATATGAATCAGATTATAAATACATACTTGGTATCAATTAAACTATTAAGTTGTAAGTAGACATTAGATTATCACGTTTTGATTAAACTTCTAACATAAATGTCTAGCTAACTAAATAGCAATTTAGGTTGATCTAGCATTAAGTTATTTAACTAATGACTCAAGAACTAACGATGAGACCATAAAAATTGCTGCTAGGTAATCTAGTGTTTGAAAAACAATGAGTGGCGGCAGCCACTGAAATACGGCAATTTTGCAAGCTGATTTACGATGAGATAATTGATTCCGCCTTACCTCTAGGTTCATCTGAATCGCTTGGTGGCTCACTTTTGACCGTGGTTATCGTGAAGAGCCTTGGTGACGGCGACGGTGGAGATGGAGGCGACGGTGGTGAGGGGAGGGAGGAAGTAGACGATCTCGCCCGGTCTTCGGCCTCAATGGACGGCTCCCGCCGCTTCCCTCGGGGCTCCTCTCGGAGATACATCTCCATTTCGTAGCATGTCTGCGGGCAGATTTCATTAACTGTTAGTTGCTGGAAGCGTTGTCCAATTACTTATGAATAGCGTTTGTCTTACGATTTTAACTCAGTTCGGCGAGTGAGACCCATTTCAATTTGATTGTGTATATTTAGTTAATTTGCTTTAATGGCCAGTACTGATTGTATTCTGATCTGTCATTTAAACATTCCTTTTTCAAAAGTAAATTCTTGCATCAGCAATTGAAGAGTATTTTTGGGGAATAAATCGATGTAAACATGTAATAATAGTTCTTATTTACTCTTTATCGTTTACTCTTTATAGTAAGAATAGATAAACAATCTTACTTCTAGAATTAAACAAGACTCGATGGAATATAATTGACAGGGCTTCCATTATGTTGCGTTCCGACTTTTTAAGTTCAACGGCCCGACCAAGGTTGCTTAGTATTGTACTTTAAGTGTTACAACTTAGTAACGGTATCTGTTAACTTAAAAACATATTTTACTGTGACCTCGAATAATTAATAATTAATAGACAATAACCTTAATTTTTTTTTGAGATTCAATTTTACTGGCACTTGATTAATGACTTTTCAGACATTGATATAAATTGTATGCAGGTATTTCTGCATGTCTGTCTATAAGATTCCGTTCACCATTAGTGTTTTGTTTATATCGGTCTCGTATGTGGTTTAGCTTGTGTAAGGGCATAATAATATTAATTTCAGAAATAAGTTTTGTTTGAACCATCAAACGAATTACTTCCGAAGACTTTTTGAGATAAAACTATGTTGATTGATATGCGAATGTTTATAAATCTTTCAAAACAACGACATAATCAATTCTTAAGTTCAGTATTAATCATTGCTATTCCTAATGAAAGCTATTTTGGCACAATTCTACAATATAAGTATCGTTTGACATAATACTAACGAATGTCAGATACAATAAACATAAAAAAAAAATACTATTTTTCTAGGTGATTTAACATAATGTTACATTAAAAGAGACGATAACAATGAATCGTTATGAATCATTAAAGGTAAAATTGCAAGTTGCGAAGGTCGTGTTCACACTGATGTGTAGTAGCATCCGCGTGAGAGACTCGTATGCGGTTAATAATGTGAACACACTTTACCCTCAGCTCTGGTAATATTATGGACAATAATAAAAATAATAAACTTTATTTGTTCTCTCACACAGATATCACAGTATAGTAACCTCTTTAAAAACTAAGTAGAACAATTTCGTTCTCTATGTGAGAGACTAGTGTCTGTGCTAGTAGAACTGTATGACAGATAACCAGCCTCTCCAATCCTGAACCAGGCCCGAAATTATAATAAGGGACCAGTGATATATTAAATAAATATAATTTAAGAGTTTGTGGTGTGAAATATGTTACGTTTGTGTTTCTCTCTGTGTGTTTGTGTATAAAAATGACATGCACATTATATAACTAACTTTTGTCCCACGTCCACATGGAATTTCATTCCTGTGGGAATTTCGGGATACGGGACCCTCACTTTATGTTAACCTACATACCTAGCTGTCTTAAATTCCATAACATTTGAGTTAAGTCCGTTCTACACATTAGCCAACATCGATACAACTAGATTTGGCTAATCCCTTGCTGTACAGTAAAAGTTGGTGCGAATTTACCGAAGCAAACTGTCTTCAAAAAAAGGAATCTTTACAACTCCACAGGCACCGATTAGCTATATATAGGTAGTAATGAGTATCTACAGCAAACGATATTTGAATACAGTCACAAATACTTTATTAAAATGTAACTATTTTAATGGTAATATAAAAGATATCTGTATTCAATATTCACTGCTTGTGCGTTATATATTTTATAATTTATTTAAAGGCGACAGACTAAACAGATTTAATGTTTAAATTATAATGTAATAACATAACAGTTACACGTAACAGCATTTTCAGTTTGGAAGTTTAACTTATATTAAATTAATAAACATTGTATGAAATTCGCAGAGCGTTTCGCAATTGCAAATAGTACATTTTAGCTTAATCTTTAACACATTCGCAACTCAGTGAAATGCCAGCTTGGAAATGAAACACAACATTTCTAATTATAAGATGAAAAGCATATACTATCAAATAAATAAATAATAAATAAAATTTAATATAATAACAATTGTTAATTTCGGTATTACTACCATTTAACATTTTTTTTATCGAGTCGGCGTTGTTGCAATTTCTATGATCACAGAGTAACTAGTGTTGCAGTTGTATTATGGGTGTATTTTGTTTACCCGATAAATTTAACTGATTAAAAAATGTACCCTCCTTCGAATTCTCTAAAGTTCGAGCAACCCCGTCGTCAACTCTTATTCTAATGTTAATAACTATAATAGTTTCAAGAAACATAAATAAGACATATCTGTAAACACATCACAGACACCCTACAAGTACATAGCGTTTTCTGCGCACGAATGACTTTCACAAGCGCCTTTCTTAGATTCTTAGTATATTTCCACGCACCGGGAGAAGAATGATCTCACTTTATAATGTGTTAGTAACCTATGTTAATTATCCTAATGTTTTGCTCTAAGTTCAACCAGGAAATCGAATGATCATCCAGGAAATCATCAAGGAAAAAACATCCACACAAATTATAAAAAACGCGGAAAGGCGCATATGGATAAAAAGTCTATTTACTCCCTCAGTCAGGAAATAGAAAAAATTATAGATACGTATTTTTTTTTTTTTACTTCATTGTAATATGAAATGGCTTTAATATAGGCGTTAAAGTTTAGGAGTGGGCTCGTTACGTCACAAATTTGAAGAAAATGTACAAAGGTGGGAAACTTTTCAACTCAATGTATCACCGTAATTTATTAATTAGGCTAACAATAAAATAAACAGTATAATATTCTTCAATAATCTCCCTAATGGACAGACAAATAAAAATTGTCGAAAATAATATTTGTAAATATGTAAGTAAATCATACCATTAACGATCGGAGGTCGTTCTGAAAAGATTTCATGAATCAAGTTATATTTCTAGATATCAATTAGTGCCGCTGCAGTGTATTTTTAAGATTAATTTATGTTAATGATCAAAAACTGAGTCTTTTGAAATTAATTGAACCAATGGCAACGATAACTAATATTTTATTTCTCAAATATATAAATATACAAAGAAGCGATCAATAGTTTCTCAAGTAGTGAAGTACGAGAACGATTTACCATAAACTAGCTTTCACAACGTATTTCCTTTGAGATCTAGTGCCCTATTTCATCACCACGTGCGGCGCATTCGACTATGTATCCATGAGCTTGCGAGCCACCGGACAATTTCCATTCTATAAATATTATTCAAGGCAAATGTGGATAATCAGCACTCGAGCTGAAACATTTCATGGTCTTCGACACCGCTGAACTCTGAACTTTAAGTTGGTGTTAATACGTTTCGTTTTCACTATAACGTGCCACAGCTATCGACGTCATTTAAAAAATCTGTAGTGCTGGTGTTTTAATCTTCTTTGGGCCTCCGTTAGTAACAACATCAATGTCTTTACTGTTAAATTTTCAAAGCCAACGAGCAGTTTTTCCGTGACTTCGCCCGCGTGAATAATAGTCTATGTAGCCCGCGCATGATGGAACTTCCCGTAGGTGAAAGAATTTTTTAAATCGGTCAAGCATTTTCGAATCCTTTTCGTTGCAAATGATTAACTATTACCTATTTGTTGCAATACTATTTTACGAGAAAATTTTATTACATTTGGCAGACATGAAATTCGACATTCGTTATTATAAGATCGTTACAACCTATAAGAAATGCAATTCAAAGTTTGTGTTAGCAATCAACAAGGGTAACTTATTTGTGAACTGATGTATGTCCGGAAAAATAAATATTATTACTATTATAATGCCAACAATTTCAACACCTTTTGTAATAATGTATGTAATCGAGAGCAGGAGATTAGATTATAGTTTTATTTTAATTATATGAATAAATTATTACGAAAGTGATATAAAAAACGTCATCAATAATGAAAGTAACAAATCAAATTATAATTTAAAACAATATAAAAAAAAGCATTAACCAAACGAGGCTGGCAAAGCTACGGTCAACACCATATAATAATGAAATATAAAAATTTCATGTAAATTCAAAGCGATTCCAAGGTAATTCATATTGTAAAAAAGATTGATGTGCTGTTATCCTTCCAATATTATATTGGATTATACATATAAATCTCTCAGACTGAACGAGACAAACTGAAAATTTCTAATGTTTTTTAGAGGCTCTCAAACATGAATTAGGAAAAATTTTTGACAGGCCCTTGTGTATAAAGATTTAAGGTAAATTGGTTGGATTAAAACAACATTTGTTGCAAGCATCGTGAAAAATATGACTTTTGAATTTTAGAAAATATATAAAATTTTTAGATGTTTCAGAATCTTTGTATGTTCCTTGTTCAAAATTAATTTGCATGGACAATATTTCATAGATTTTGGAAAAATAATTATACAAATTTCTAAACTAACTTAATCAAGTTATGCTTATAAACAAACACAGATGCAAAGCTTGTAAATAATTATATAATTTTTTAAATCAATAAGTTTAACTAATCATTATTTCTTAACTGATTTATTTATACAATAAGTTCGCCTGTCAAAGAGCTTGTCAGATACATATTTCATGCCTGTGAAACGTGAGTCGGATACTGAATTGACACATGCGAGTGAAAACCTTGTAACGTAGTCTATAGCGAGTTAAAGGTAATGTGAATTCAAAATATTGAACAGGTTAACTCAGTTTTTTATTTACTATGGTTTTAGTCATCTCATAGATGAGTAGTTTAATATTTTGTAAATAATTTTTAAAGTTTATTATGGTGACAATATTGTTATTCGCCGAATATTAAAACGTTTGTATTATTTTCACTGTTTTTAAATTTGAAGTTGGGTCAATTCTTTTATACAAAGTTTTTGGTTCATGCATTTTAGTGATATTTTGAGTTTTGGAGTAACAAATATCACGCATACTTAAT